GCTATGGGCTGAAGGGCTGCCCTTAAGATTGTGAAATTACACAGTCTGACGTCTCTTGGAGAGACGCAGCTAGTCAAAAGAAGCTGATAAGAAATAGTGTCTGTCAGCTACTAAAGTGCTACATGAAATACAGAGAAAGAGGAGAGAAAAGTTTTGTATGGGATCTAGGTATTATAGACGGAAAGAATAAGGACACATTTCTGGTTAGTATTTTCAAAAGTTGAAGACTCAGTTGTGACTTAGTCATCCATTGAAAAGACTAAAAGACAAGTGGATACTCCTTGTCAACCACCCTTAGTAGCCAGACGCTCAGTAGGTAAACACTCAGCATCTTAGCAATGGTGAAAAGCAGAGTTTACTCATCCTTCAGTACTCATTCCCGATTCTAAACCAGAACAACATCACAGCCCACTTGTTGAAGACCACCTTACTTTCATTGAACATAACCTCTTGTGTATTTCTTATACGTCGCCTGCCATGTAACTTTTTTCTTTTACACAAAAGCAAAATGAACAACAAAATCTTTTAATGTATATCCAGCATTTCCAGACAGGTCCCGAAGCTTGGCAGGCCATATGGCTAAGCTTGAACCAAAAGGATGGAAACAGAATTGCTGTGAAACACACCAAGTCATTTTCTTATAGTCAGGTGCCCTTACTCAGGACGGTTTTTCAGCTGTCCTGCTGAGTAGGACATGGGAAGAATCGGCACTTTTTTGCACACATAGATAAAAGCCAGTTGTTGATGCCTATTTTCCTCTTGAACATCTCCTATATTTGGACAGACATGTGCGAGAAACACCTCCTCCGACTCGTTTAGCTTTGGCGGGCTTTGGCAGAGCAGATTAGCCTGCGCCCTACTGGTCCCTTGAGAGTTTTTCATTTGCCCGAGTATCTGTGAGAAATGAGGCCTCAGTTTCATGGGATTGAGCACATTACATATTATACATTTCTTTTTTCATATTTCAGTCATCAATTATCCCGTGACTCTACTCCAAGGTAATTTTCTTCCTTCCTTCCTTCCTTTCTCTTTTTTCTTTCTCTTGATAGAAATACGAATTCTCTACCATCTGTATTACTCTTTCAAAGGTGAGTCTCTTTTGTCTTGGGCACTGCCGGAGGTTGATATCACCTAATGCCTTAGTAAGTGCTTTAATAGAAGTCTATTTAGATCTTGACCGTCTCCATCATTCTAAGTCTCTCCTTCTGTTTCGTTAACATTAGGGATCCTTCTCTCCCACTGGTACACATTTGGCACCCTGTGGAAATCTCCAATCAACCCTATAGAATATAATTATTTCAAACCTCAAATCGTTCAAACCTCAAAACAACAACAAAAAATTTCCTTAGCACATGACTGTGGAAATCAATTGACGTCTTGCCTTTTGTTGACATTACCCAAGAGAATTTTCTGTCCCATTATGTTAGCTACATTTTGGAAACTCCGTTAATGCTTGAATCATATTTGTTGATATTCACTTCATTTATTTGTTTATCCATTCATTCACGGTGTACTTATTATGCACTGTGTTCTAAGCACTGTGTCAGATGGTGGGAATACGGTAGTAAACAAGACGAATACTGTTCTGGCCTCTTGGGATTTTCAGTCTAGTAGGAATAAGTGTGCACTATGATGAGAGTAATGGTGAGAAACAGAGAGTGTCTTTGGCACAAACTTGGCCTCCAGTAGACAATGGAGGTATGAACAATGCAACAGAGTTAAAAATTCAGTAAGGGGACACAGCGGGAATGGGGTGAAATCTAGAAGCAGTGGCCTGATAGTTTTGACTGAGATCTTCTTTTTATTCAGCACCTTTTAACAAAAAAAGTTTTTGAAATTAAGGTTCAGTAAAAGTCATGGATATTTAGTAAGTTTACAGTGAGCTCTATCTTTCTTTCAGACCCAGCATAAATCTTCTTCTCAGGGGGGAGGATGAAGATTTCTGCACCAATGCTGCCTAGCCCTCTCTCTGAGAGACTTGACATTTATTGCTTTTAATGAGTTGGGATTCCAGTGCAGGAAAGTTGGAGTCCTTTAGTAGAGACACTGCAGTCACTGCCAAGTCAGAAACAGAGGCAGTATGCCGCCACATTTCTTCAACTCAAAATCGAACAATGCGTATGTTCCCCGGATGAAAGAGAATATTGTGCCAGCCTATGTCGTATATAGGCATGTATTGACTTCTGTTTAAATCTCACCAATAACGTGTAGGATCTATATCAAGTTCTGAGTATTCTAATTTTAAAAACAGGGTGGAATGGTGAACTATACATATAGGAGAGGAGGAAGCCTTCAGGTTTAAATTTGGACAGTGGTTCTCAAACTCGACTGCACATTAGAATTACCAGGCCAGACTATAAATCTCTGGGGTGTTGCCCGGGTGGCAGCGTTTATTAAAGTTCCCCGGGTGGTTTCAGTAGGGTCGAGTTTGAAAACTACTGATTTAGAGTAGTGGTTCTTAAACTTGACTGCACATCACAGTCACCTGGGGAGCAGTCAGAAGATCCTGTTTTAGGCTCTACCCCAGAACAGTTCATGAGAAATTCCCTTTGCTGGGACTCAGGCATCACCATGTCCCACAGCTCTTCAGATGATCCCAATGTTCAGGCAAGTTTGAGAATCAGTGCTTTAAAATTCTCCACACAACCCCCACTCATCTTCAAGGGAGAAGGGTGGAATCATCGGACAGCAGCACATCGAACTTATTGGGCTCTCCCTTGGCTCTACCTCCGTGATGATCTGACTTCAATGTGTCTGAGAATTACAGCATAGCTTCGCACGCCCAGATCATATTGAATTCATCACAGGTTCTTTTAAGGAGTGATAATGTAACTTCAAGTGTCCTTGGCGCGACACCCTATTTCCCCATACACAAAATTTTAGACCTTAACCTCCTGGAAACTATTAATTCACCACGCTCTAATCTTGAATAATAAGGACCATACGTAAAGCTATGAAGAGGTGAGTAATAAGCAGACAGTCAGTTATGCTGCCAATCACAGTAGCGAATTCACCAATGCAACAAAACCTTAATACACTGTCACTATCTGTTTCATGCCTATCTCCTAAGATCTTGTGAGAAAGGGAATATCAAGGACTGTATGTATCTAGGGCATAATAATTCATTGTCAAGCACAATGCAGGAAACTAACTTTAGTGGCTTTCTTGTGTAAACCATTGAAAGGGGGTGATGGTGTTGCTGAGATGGTTTGGAATCCATGCATGCGAGCAGAAATGTAGGGAACGACTTGAACTCCATGTTGTCGATGAAGATGGATGCAAAGCCATCTACTGAGAATAAGGCAGATGCATCGGGGTAGTTGCTGACAGCAGGCAAGTTGTAGATGAGCCAGTGATAGGATGGGGTGAGGGAAATGCCTAGAGAATCAAAGGAAATGTAACAATTTCTGCAATCATAAAATTTATTCCAATATTGGCAGTCCCAGATTTAGGATTTACCCTGTGTTAGGTCTTAGAGTAAACTGTCACTTTGCATTAGGTAATCTGACCCTCACCAACAGGGTCATTGGAAGGCTGGCCCATATCCTACATGATTTCATCTTGGAGACGCATTTTTGAGAAGCAAGACATCGCAAAGTGAAGAGTGCAGACACCGGAGATGGACCACCTTAGCTCAAATCACTGAAGTTTCTCATGGATCAGTTTCTTCCTCAGAAATATGGGATTGTTAAGGTTTTTATAGATAATGGAGAAAGAACACATTTATATGCAAACCACATGGTAAGTGCTCAATAAATGTAAGCTCTTCTTTCTAGTATTGATAAATGAAGAGACTGGCAAAGTGAATTTAGGTGACCTGTTCCAGGCCACACAGCCAGCGCTCATTACCAAGTATGGTGGACCTCAATGTCTCTTTTCTAGTCCAAGAAACCGCATTGCGTTACTGACCCACCTTGGACAAATTTCTAGCAATGTATTCCAGAAGTGTATTTGGTGGTAGAAATACAATGGCGAATATGCAATTCAGTGGGGATAAGCACAGTGAAAACAAAGACGAATGCAATATAGCATGATGGCGGAATGGGAATAAGACAGTAGAGAGTATATATCTTCATTTTGTTCTCTCCTCCCAATCCATCCTGACCCATCCCATCTCATCCTTCATGACCTCAGCCATCATCTTACATTAAATGGAAACAAGTTAATTGAAATGATAATGTATGACTACCATGATTGTAATGCACACAAGCACACAGACACATACACACACACACACACGTCATCTCTATGCTACTAGAGGCTCTATTCTTCCTGCCTCCTAACACAGATATACTTTTCTGAAGACAGTGAACAATCCAGGAGGTTTTAAGTCAGCTTGTGTAATTATTCCTCAGTTTTTGATATGAACCTGCAAATCCAGAAAATTTAAACTTTTGAATTAATGCCTCTAACTTTTAGAGCAAATTCCTCCCAAATAAGATGATATCTCATCCTTTTACCAATTTATTCATTCAAAGATGCGCTAAGTGCCCCTGATGTCCTAGCCAGGGCTTTACCTGCTGAAAATTACAGCAGTGAAGACAAGAGGTGCTTCCTTTCTCCCATCTCTTGTCAGTTATACTGTTAAAATAAGAAGGAACTGCTGTCAGAAACTACCCCAATGCATCTGCCTTATTCTCAGTAGATGCTTTTGCATGCTACTTCATTGACAGCTGAAGTAATCTGGGGTTTCACTAAAACAAGGCCCTATCATGATCCTGAGGGTCAGTGGAGATTTCCCAGTCAAATCTGGTTGTTTTTTTTTTTTTTTTTTTTATCCCCCCAAGGGTGAATTGAAGTGTAGGAGAGCCTAGATCAAGAGGAAGGAGAAGAAGCTTGCAGACTGACACGGTCACTCTGGATAACCAGGTCTGTCAATGATGTGCAAACCCTGTGTTCCCACACTCGACCGTGAAGTGGCAAGCACACACCCAGACATTTTGGCAACTCCATCAAGCTCACAAAACAGGTGAGCCACCACAGCATATATTCTAGAGAGATGAACCACAAGACAAGATTTTAATGTCAAGAAAATGGAGCCAACAACATTTTGTATTTCACACTATCTTCATATTGAATAACAGAAGGAGGTTACAATCAAGTAGAAAGAGCAGAAAAGACAATCAAGCATCATACGGATTTCCTGGGCACACAGGCACACAGTCAGGTTGCTGACTCAGCCCTCATCATGTGTGGCCAGTGTAAAAGAAAGGCCTCACAGGGAAAGTGAACACGCCATCTGGGTACCTCCAAATGATGGAGCGCCTGGCAACATCCACAAAGCTCATGCTCCTACTGTCCAAATCAAGGAACACACCAACGCGGCCCACAGGTTTCGCTATGAACTGAGGACTTATGGGGGCGGTGGTCCAGAGACTGTAACGATCATCCTCCTTCACACATACCAGAAGGAATGTGTCCTTAGATTCAACCAGTGTGCCGGTCTTCCTTATCCAGGAATCCCTACAGACACCTACAGCCCAGTCCCAAGATCTGTCCACAATCACCTCCCAGTAGTGCTTGCCGGAGGTGAAGTCCTGGGTTCCCCAGCTAGCAAAATAGTTAGATGTTCCAGGATTCAAAGACACATATCGACTGTCATGGATGTACCGCACACTTCTCACATCATCAAACAGCCTGATGTTGTGATTGGTTACTTCATTATGGAAGGAAATTTCCACTGTCGAGAGAGAGAGAGAAGAGAATATTCCAGTCAAAATCAATGATAAAATTAAGCTGTGTGTGGGAGAAGAGGGTCTTATCTAGAGTCTCACTGGGAAGAAAAAACAAAAAAGCATGCCATGGTTAGAAGGGCAGTTCTAACTGGAAAATATGGGATTCAAATGAAGCCAGCCTATCTACTGAAGGAACAAATACCTACTTTCAATGGAAAAACTTTCATCAAATGGAGAGATTGTAGAGCAGAAGGAGGTCATGTCTCCTTCCGGCTGGCTCCTTTTCATTACACCTGACAAACTGGACACCTGTGCACCGCCTCCAAGTCCAGAGCAACATAACTTACCTCCACCGCCCTCCCTCTGGGAAAAAATAGTTACAAGCTAGACCACTGAATAAATGGTGATGGCTTTCGCTGTACCAGGAGATTCCGCGATTCCACTTAAGGAAGTAAACTGACAGTGAGGAAGAAAACCTCAAGGTGCCCTCTTAGAAGGGGCTTCCTTCTAAGACTATTCTGCCTTTGATACCTCGTTCCACCTGAGGCCTAGCCTTCTTTCTCCTAAATCAACCTTCTGGGTTCAGGTTTATCATGGAGTTCGATAGATGGACTCGTCAGCCACCAATTTGCTTGTTGGCTATGGTTCATAAAGTCCTGGTTTCTGGATTTAGTTTTTCTTTGTGCTTATGTATTTTTTTCTGAATCTATCAATTGAAACACACATTACACGTGCAGTTCCCAAGGACCTTTAAGCTAAAGTCTTGTTTTAAATTAAATTCACTGCGCTTACTTTGAAATGGGAATATCTTGAACTCACAGCGATTTTCTAAGACTCAGGAAACAAGTGACATTGTGAGTGAGAATATTTCTAGGACTCCTGGAGCCCTCTTTTGGAGCACGTCCTTTTGCTCCTCATGGAAGTAATTTAACCAATCTCTAAGTAATTCACAAGTCCTGAAGCACATTGATGCTTACGTCAGCTTTCATTTATTCTTTCCCTGTTATAGCGACTCTACGGCTAACTACGAACGTCCGTGCCTGTCTGCATGGCTGTGCTCTCTGACAAGACAAAAGGTTGAGAAAGAAGGAAGGATTGCCTAAGGAAAACCAGTATTGACAGAGCCTGCAGGGTGGCCCCACTCACCCCGGAAGCGGTTGAGCCTGTCCATCAGTCCAGTGACGGGTCGGGCACTGAGTTTTGGCTGAGGACGCTGAGGCATGTGCAGCTGCACCAACTCGATCCTGTAAGGAAGAAAACGCAATCAATCTCTCTGGTGCCCGAGACTTCTGACACACACTGTGTTCAATAAAAGTCAGCATCATTCCTCTGAACATTCTTCCTCAAAACACTTTCCTCCACAACCCTGGGACAGGATTGCACCATTCTCACAGAATCTTTCTCAGTTTTCTTCTTTCCATGCTTCCACCCCCATTTCTCACAGGTACTTGCTCCTCTCCCCTAACACCTGGGAAAAACTATCCTTGCATTTCTGTATGTCGATTCTTTTGAACCCTGAAAGCATAAATAACTGGTTTTCTAGAATCCTCTGCACTGAGCTTGATGACAGCACTTGCCCCTTCCAGTCACAGGCGGAAGAAAGCCTCGCTTCTAATCCAGAGGAATAACAGGAAATGCTATGCAGCAAAATGTGCACAAACATATGCACACACTAACAGTGGAGCAGAATCTACCCCATTATGCCTCATCTTATTCAAAGGAGCCTGAGCTTTTTCAGAGCCCTCACCGCGCCCCACTTAGCATGGAAGACCAAACTTACCTTGGCAGTTTGTTTCCCAATTCCTGTCAAGAAAAAAGAGAGAGAGAAGCTTAGACTCTTCAGGAATAAGCCATTCTGCCAAGCAGCCTTTGGGTTTGGGACAGTACACAAGAAAAGTACTCAGCACCACCACCCGCACAAACCGCCTTGTTGATTCATCTTCCTTTTCCTCCCTAAAGACGATCTCCATACCCCATATTGACCAAATCCAAATTTTTGATGTATTCAGAACCCTGAGGAGGGATATAGAGAGAGAAGGACGAGGGAAGTGACCGTGCATTGCTGCCACCCTCCACTGTCTGAAAAGTGGTCTTTCCCAGGCCTTGTCTCCAGAGGGAAACATGCACCAAACAAAGGCCACTTCAAACCTAGGACATCCCAACAGAAGGCAGAAATATACACAACTTTCCCCAAATTTCTCCACATTGCCCAGTGTTGAGTGTCCATGAATAAGTTGTTCATTTCCTGATTCTAGCAAAGGAAGCTACAAAAGGAGGGTGTGAGGAGGGAATTTCCCCTGGGGAAATCTCCACAATCACAATTCCAGAAGGCTTGCTTGTTCATGGTTAGGAGATGAGTTGCAATCATTTTAAGTTATTTTGAGTTGGGAGAGACGCCCCCCCCACCCCCACCATAGATGCAGGAGAGGAAAAAGTATACCTTTAGTACCAAATAAATAAGAGAAGTCAAAAGCGTGGGCTTGAGATAATATAAAATACCCGCAGACCCATCCTCTGTGCTTACCAGGAGCAGCTCCACATCTGATTTATGGCACGTTTCCAACAGCTCCTCATACATCAGTCTTAGCTGTATCCTCTTTTCCACCATTTCCGCTCGAATTTTCTGGAGTTGCTTAAACACGGATTTTCCTTGCTTTTTCAGACTCTCTAAGTGCTGCTTCTCTTCCTTCCGTAGAGAAGGATGCAGTGGCTGATAGACAGCCCTGATGATGTCTTCATGTTTATACACATAACACTGCAGAGAGATGGATTTCCTAGATCAAAGGCTCAGGCCAACCTTCTCCTCCTCCACTTAAACAGCATCTACTTTGCTCTCATTCATGGGCTCCACCAACCAGCTACATCCATCCTAAGGTCAGGTCCACCCACTTCTCAGAAACCACACATTCATTCCTCTTTCTTTCACTGATTTTCCATTCCTTTTAACTGCACCAAGAGTCAAGCCCATCCCCCCTCAAAGCACTTCCACCACTGCATGAGCTCCTGGAACAACGTCAGCAAAGCTTTCCATTGATAATTTCTTTCATTCGAATCTTCTCAAATCTGAAAGACTCCACGCAAAGCAATTGCAACCTATGAGTGGTTAGTAAATCATTATGTGCAATACTCTGACCACTCTTTAGTAAATTTGTCTCTGGTCTCAAACCTCCCTACTCCACCATGTGACCTCCCCTCTCTCCTGGCAGCAATGTTGCATTTTATTCTTGGGATTAAAAGCCATCGGCAAAGAGCTTCCTAAACTTCTCCCCACCTGCCCTCCATCTGATGGCCATCCTCACCGCCATTTTCCCTGCCCTCCTATTCTCTAGGCATGAGCTTCTGTCCTCTATCAGAGGCCACAGGCTTCTGTGTTGTTGTGAAGGACGTTAATCCTCATTCCATTGCTTGGTCGCTTCTTGCATTTTTTGGAACCACACTCTCACTTGCCATCTCAGTCTTTTTCTGTGCTCCATTTCCTCACTTTCTTAAAAAAACTTGCTACATTTTCCCCTACCTGAGCCAACATCATTCTGTAGCTCCTGCACAATCAGTTTCATCATCGCAGGCACACTTCTTGAATTGGCATTCACCGTTCCTCTTTGTCTCCCGGGGCTCATTGGAACAACGGGATGGGAATCCCTTCAGTTCTCAATGATATGCTCTGTAACTTCTAGGATATATGATATGCAGAAATCTCTGCCTGCAACACTCATGGATTTTTAACCCCTACTTGTCCTTCAGAACTCCAATTGCTTTTAAACCTGAGAAATTTGGCCTGAGATTCTGAGTGATGTTTACTGAATTGCCCAAATCGCTCTACGTGCCTCCATCCTAGCCCCGGTCACACATTCTTCTGAGGGCTCTTGGATTGTAGTTACTGATTATCTTCGAGTCTAAAAATCCTAAGAGGCATGCCACCTTAGGTTGAAAATGAGGACGGATTATTTTTCCTGTTGTTCGACCCAGTCTCCGAATTTCATGACATATGATGATTCCAGCTCAAATTGTTAATGGAGAAGTTTCTAGCATGTCTGTCACAACCAAGAGTTCAGAGGGAAATACAGTCGCATACTTACCATCCAA